TATATATATATATATATATATATATATATATATATATATATATATATATATATATATATATATATATATATATATATATATATTATATTATATTATATTAATACTGGCAGTTTCCGACATCACAACAACTGTGGCTCCACAAACCCATCGATGGCAGCGTCGAAAGAAAACAAATTACCTCCTTCATTTTCGGGTGTTAAATTTCAAAAATTTGTCCATGAATCCAGCTATGATGGGGTCTCAGGAACAGACAATGATAAACAGTCGTTAAGAAAATCTTAGCAAGTTTCTTTCATCTTTGGCTGCTCGAAGCGTTCTCCTCATTTCAAAACGGCAGTATACTTCTTGAAAACGCTTCTTGTAAACGCCGAGGTCTCATAATCGAGGATGAATTTAAAAACACTTACTTTAGCTGATTGTTGTAAACCAAGTTATCTTTAACAGGCTGGTGACCATATAAAAAAATCCTTGCACATTTCCAAGTTCTTAGTTAAATGATTTTGAAAGCGTTGGTCTTGAAAAAGTTTGATTTGACAAAGCTAGTAGTCTGTTTCAGCCAATCAGTTGAATGAACTAAAATAAAAAAGGGCGCGCTGTCAAAATTTGTTGTTGTAGTTATGTTCTTCGTGTATATTATTAATAAGTAATCGCATGATTTTTCTCGTGCAATTTGGAATAAATAAGCGCTTGTAAATTTTTCAAAGACCACAAACTGCACTCGCCCTACGGGTTCGTGCACTTTTGTTGTTCTTTGAAAAATTTACTCGTGCTTATTAATTCCAAATTGCACTCGAAATCATGTGATTACCTATACAAATTCACTATTATATGCAGATGACTGGATTATTTTATCAAGATCCAAAATAGGATTACAAAACTGTTTTAAAAAACACACTTCATTTATATTGCGAAACATGGATGTTATGTTAAAAATCAATCCGAAGAAGACAAAAATAATGATATTCCAAAAACGCCCAAGGAAATCCGTTGACAACAACTTTAAAACAGGCAACGAGCACACTGAGATCGTTCAACGATACACCTATTTAGGTACACGTTTAACTCCAACAGTAATTTTTCCGATTTCAAGGTACAACAGTGAGGTATGGAGGATGTATATACTAAGCAAGATTTAGTTAGAACATGGGATAGGTCCCCCTGTTTACAAAACTGGAGATGAATTTTTTCGAACTACTTGGAGGTGAACAATAAGGCCTCTAATTTAGCTTGCAAAGCTGAGCTTGGAAGATTAACACTGGCTATACCAATTAATGAGAAAATTATAAAATATGTTATTTATCCAAACAACAAAGATAATGACTTTATAGTTAAACAATCTTTCCTTTTGTCGAAGAATCTTCACTCTGTTAATAACTCCGGATTTTACTCCAATTTCATGAACATGGTAGAACAAAACAATCCATCCACTCTGGATCCTGACTAGGCGATACGCAAACAACATGAAAGAGAAATATATATCTTTCTGGCGACACAGCCTTGAACATTCAAAGAAATTAGAATTTTATAAAGTTTTTAAAGATGAATACTTTGCATCCGATTATTTATTCCACATAAGAAATTTTAGTGAAAGAAGGAATTTAGTTAAGTTTTGAAACATAAGCAACCACAAACTTGTGATTGAACTTGGAAGATACCAGATCGATAATGTAACTAGAGAAAATAGGTTATGTCCATTGTGTAAGTGCAAACAAACTAAAGATAAAATTTATTTTCTTGTACCTGACATTGAACGGAAACCGACTACTGAAATCATTAAATTTCTGATAAACTCTAACGACTATTTTAAAAATAAACTAGTACAATGAAGTTCATTTCCTCGTGTATGAACATACGTGATTCATTGTTGTTAGCTAGTGGAAGTGATGTTAAATAACTTTAGTCAATTTGTTGTAACATCATTAGCCTTGTTTATTCATAAATTTTTATAGATATGCTTTTGCAATACTTTCCAATAATACGGTCATGCAAAGAAAGCGATAGTTACTACTACACTTGTAAAATAGAGTAGTTTTACTTCACATATTTTTAAAAAAGGTAGAAGACTACTGGGCAGTTTTTCACTCTAACTCCATTTTGTGTTTACTTAATATATACCTGTTTTACAATAATTGATAGATACCGTTTCACAATCAAAAACCATTTTATGATGAAACTTAGAAAATAACCAGGAACATGCAGGAACTACATATAACTAATTTAGAATACAATATTAATTAGCCAAGAGAAATTTTTCCTGACGGAAAAAAGAGTCTTGTCAAGCCTTAACTTTTAAGGTTTTAAAGGAAGTGAATTTGTTGAAGTGCGAGCGTCCAGAATAAGGACACTCCATAATTTACTTACAGCATTAAAGGAAAACGTTCGGTAGCACATCTAAGTGATGTTAGCGACATCTAACTTCACTCAAAACGGCTGCCGTCCTTGCCATTAACTTATGTTCTTCTGAACTACGTGTTTACAGCATAGACTCAAAATGAAATGCATTCTTCTCTAAAACTGACTAAGGTATTTTCCCTATTAAACGTCGCGAGGAAAAAAATCGAAAAAAAAAACTATTATGAAGGTGTCTTAACATTGTTTCAACCCTCTTATAGATCTTCTTGACCCACGTGGTCAACAGCTATGCAGATATCTTGGAAGAAAAAACGGTCAGATGAGAAAAGTTGAGAGTTCAATCCCACACACACACGGCCGCTCTTTTATTATTCCCCATGACGTCATATGAAAACCACATGCGACAGCATTGAACGACTTTGATCATCATAACGTAGCATAACACTGAAATTATTGCGGAGCACTAATAACTCCAGATAAAGTTCTAGGAAGACAAAAAATTAGGTTCGTTTTGCTGATTAATAAATAATAACTTCTCACTCCTCAGATTACAGATTGTTTTTGGAAGATGAAGGACCAGATTGTTTAAAAAAAATAGAAGAGTTCCCACTCTTTACGCTAGACACAACGTTTACCCCAGTACAAGAAAAAGACATTTTGCTAGACATATACAAATCTACAAATGGACAACAATGGTACGAGGCTAGTGGATGGAACAGCTCAAGTAACGAGATCTCTCATTGTTCCTGGTATGGAATCACCTGTCATAATAACACGTCATACATTAAAAGTATCGTGTTGCCTTATAACAACTTGGATGGCTTTCTCCCTTCTAATATTTGGAAAATACGAAACTTGTTTTCTTTGTGCACTCCAGGAAATCCGAGACTGCGAGGGCGTATTGGCGACTTTCTGTTTGACAACATGAGTAAACTGCTGATCACATCATTCAATACTGCCTCAATAAGTGGAGATATACCAAAAGATATAGCAAAGCTAACTAGTCTACAGTACTTCTTGGGGTGCCCTATGAATGGCGCAGGCTTTTCTGGTCGCTTGCCAGAAAACATAGGAAACATGACAGAGCTTCGAGTTCTCTGTCTTGGAGGACACGTGACTGGAGAAATACCAAGAAGCATTTCTCGACTGGAAAAACTTTACGATCTAGACATTCGAAACACCCCAGGCATGATGCATGGGAACCTTAGCGAAATACTTGCCATTCCTTCCTTATCCTATCTGTATTTGNCAAAAGATATAGCAAAGCTAACTAGTCTACAGTACTTCTTGGGGTGCCCTATGAATGGCGCAGGCTTTTCTGGTCGCTTGCCAGAAAACATAGGAAACATGACAGAGCTTCGAGTTCTCTGTCTTGGAGGACACGTGACTGGAGAAATACCAAGAAGCATTTCTCGACTGGAAAAACTTTACGATCTAGACATTCGAAACACCCCAGGCATGATGCATGGGAACCTTAGCGAAATACTTGCCATTCCTTCCTTATCCTATCTGTATTTGTCTGGCCTTCACCTTAGCGGGGAGATGCCCAGAGTGTTGCCTAAAAGGCTCCTTCAACTGGGCTTGAATGGAAACAGCATTTCGGGAAAGCTACCAGAAACATTTGAAAGTAACATCAACCTTAATGTATTTAATGTCGCAAACAATCAGCTAGTAGGAGATATTCCAGGGGATCTGCTTCTGTTGCCAAATCTCCAAATGGTAGATGTGTCACAGAATCAGTTTTCCTCTATAAACCATGGCAAACCATGGCCAGTTAATTCAAGTGCAGCTAAGACGAAATACGTCTCTTTAGCGGGGAACAGGAACTTGTTAATTCATTTCCAGAGCTTCATAGAACTTTTCACAACGACGGTTAATTTCGTAGATAGTCCATCCATTTTAAATGTTAGCTTTTGCGACATCCAAAGTCCCGTACTTCCAAATCTGTATTACTTTGAAACAATGTCCACTTGCGATATGCGAGGCAATAATTTTTATGGACCTTTACCCGACTTTTTCGAGGACTTTTCTTTGCTAACATACTTCGATGTTTCAGCAAATAACTTAACGGGCAGCTTTCCAGCTGGAATTCAGAACCTCATCTCCCTTCAATATTTAGATTTTTCAGGAAATCCTCTCATGCGAGAAGGAAACAGCGCATCTACCAGTGTCTACCAACCAGACTTTTCAAGAATGATACGGCCACTTGAAGCAGAGAACTTCACGTGCCCTGAGGGAAGAATCATGTTCAATAACGGTCGCATTCGCTTAGATCCCACGTTTTACGACTACAGATATTGCATCTGTGATGCCGACTTTTATGGAGACAAAGGGTTGTGCAAAAAATGCATGGAAGGTGGGATTTGCCACCGAAAAGATTTCCACGAGACAGCAGATCTTCGTCCTAGCAACATGAAAATCGGCAGTGGTTACTGGCCATCACCTGAACCGAACAATGTCACCCACCTTGTAAAGTGTCCAATACCATCTGCTTGCAATCCATCGGATTCTTGCACCTGTCAGCTGAATACATCGCGAAAAGACAAAAACGCGCCCTCTAACAGACCCCAAGTGCTATCTCTCTTCACAACATGCAACCATTCGTGTATCTGTCATCAAGGAAACACGGACAGATTTTGTTCTCGCTGTCTCGATGGATTCTACAAATTAGGCGGACTTTGCTTTCGATGTAAAAACGGTGATTTATTGTACTATTACATGTTCATTCCTGTTTTTGCAGTTTCATTCCTTGCTTTAATCTGGTCATATTTCTATTTCAACGTACGTCCCTTGAAATGGTTTGTTGTTACGGCCATTCATTTTCTTCTAATGTTAATTATGATGCTCTTGGAATTCTTGCCGGCATGGTTTTTCAAATTAAACATGGTTGTGTTTGTGCTCTGTATGACTAGTAGAGGGAAAGCGGCCCGTACGCTCATAAGCATCGCAGTGTTTTACATTCAGACTATAGATTTCATGGTATCAAGCTTCAACGTTTGGCCTAAAAAGGTCGTTGCAGCTCAAGGCTACTTGAGCAGCTACTGGAACCTCTATTTCCCCTCGCTTTCTTGTGATTTGCCTCTGCTGTTTACTCCTGTTGGCAAGTTTGCTTTCCTGCTTCTCTTGCCACTGGCGTGCTTGATCATGGTTGGAGCATATTTTATCGTCATGCTGGCATTCCAGAAATTCCGTCCAAACACAGAACGCATGGAAATGGCTCACTTCAAATGTCGCCAAACCGCCTTTTTCTGTCTAAGCTTCAGCTTTTTTCCCATTGTGAAACAAACGTTTTCAGTCCTACGTCCATGCCACAAGGACCTTGATGTGCTCTACATGCCATCTTCTCCTTGGATAGAATGTACCTCTTACGCCTTCCACAGTCTGATTACACTAGGAATTGTCTCCATTGTGGTCTACGTGATTGGATTTCCCTTGATGGTCATCTCCTTGATGTTGCTCTTCTTCCCCAAGAGAAGCTCTATGAGTCCTGAAGATCGAAAGAAACTTGATGTATGGCTTGGACCGATCTACTTACCCTACAAACCTAAGTACCAAGCGTTCTTCGAAGTTGTCATGCTCTTACGCCGCCTGATTCTCGCCATCGCCCTGTCCATGATCCCATCGTCATCTACTTTGCAAACGTTTGTAGTCTGGGTTGTACTTATAACTTCAGCGCTTATTCATCTTATTTTACGCCCGTACGATACGAGCAGGAGAGTGGGCGAAGCCGACCGGGAACGTGCCTGGCCAAAGGTCAAAGAAATATTCACTGAGAATGTCTTTGAGCCTCTTGTATTGGTTATCTTATCAATGTCATTCATGCTGTTACGATTTTCATCTTTAGATGGCAAAAATGCTGTTCTTTTTGTTTGGTTTGTTATGGTCATTAACGCCTGTGTCCTGATTGGTTTGTTAGTCGCTATCTTCTATCTTCTCGCTTGCAAAGTCAAGATCCGTGGTAATGGTAATGAGACTTTAAGTACAGCAAATTGTGGAGAGGAAGATAGACTTGAAGAGCACACAAACATTGGCGATGAAGAAGGAAGGTATTTGCTGCGAGGTGGTGCCAGCCGCAGATACTTACTAACAAACAATGACGCCTAACCTTTCATAGGAGCATACCCAACTTCTTAGACCAAACAGCTGTCAACAGATTGACGCAGGTGATGGAGGAAACAGTGTTGTGAGTGGACAAAGATTATACTGTTATAATATTTGTTAGCATGCCATTAGAGTTTAGAGGCCTGTCGAGCTATAAGTTTGATAAATAGAACATCCGTTTTTAAGGTGATATCTTTCATTCGTAACTGTTTGGCACTCCCAAACGTACAACCCGTATTGTAAATTAAACGTTAGACAAATTATTTCCTTTAGCGGACTGTGCGTCTTCAATTATCCAAGTATTAACGTTGGTTGCTAGCGTGATTTTTTTTTGAAAGGGACAGCGCCATGAAGTGACCTGAATGATCTGAAATGACACGATGGCCGAATAAAGAATATTGTTCAACCACTTTCAAGCGTTGTCGCTCAAAGTAGTTTAGTCAATGCTGACTACAGTTGTGTATTATATTGCAAAATATACCTTGTTACTGGGCTGCCTGTGCGGCCCAGTCATAATTCGGTTTTCGGTCGTCGGTGTCGAAAAACGGTAATCCGGGGGAGGGAAGACACGAGGGTTTGGTACCGAGAAACGATGTTCTCACAAATGGTTTCATATGATTTTTTCTTGCACGGACCCTTGCACGGATACTTTTTGTACCTCGTCTCCGCTCCCCCTGAAAAACCCACAAGGCGTTGCGAACCTGGAGAAGGCTATTTGCGTTGTTCAGAGGAGTCAGTCTATAATTTCTTTATTCTTCGAGTTTAAGTCAGTTAGATGATGTTGGCGCTGGGAAACTCAGAAAAATGCTCACGTTGCATACAAACCGACACGCCGTTCACGGTAGGTTCACACCAAAAAATGACTGTGAGCGTCAGGTTTGGAACGCCGGGGCCGCTTCGTGAACTCAAAGAGAGAGTTATCGATCGATGTAGTACATGATCAATTAAGAAGCACAATTTATGAGCAAAGTATTTCACCAGTCGACGACACTGTGGCTGAAGACTTGATTTTAAGCTGTCGTAGTCAGTGACGCGAACAACTCAGTTGCCGATGAGTGTCAGATAAATCCTGATGTTACGCACGTTCATGAGCGAGGGACGTGACAACTTTGCCATGTTAGAAGACTGGCTTTTCCTTTAAATATTTCCTTCTATTTAATTTGGAGGTCTAAATTTCGGATACTGAGGATAAAGAAGACACGGACAAAAATAATAACCCTGAGAATTTCGCACAGAAGTTCAAGGCTTGACTTGAGGAAAATAGGAGCTATTACTGACAAGGTTTGGTGACTGAGTAGAGCATACAAGTGTAGCCCACGTCGAGGTTTCAGGGGGTTTGCTTTTGTTTGTATCTGTATCTTGCTAAGCTTTTATCATTAAATTGTACATGATCTTGTGATCAAAATTCTGTGTTTTCGCCAATTCAGCAAGCACGCTATATTGATGTCAGCATTAGCGAGTTCCAGAAACATGCCTTTGAAAATTTTCAGCTCTCGTGATGTTTCTTGATATTTCTTCTACCATTTTATGGAGATGTAAACTGAAGTCACCGCAAAATGGAAACTTAAAAAAGCGTATAATCAATTTATCTCGAAACATAATACACATGACTTATATGACCTTTATTTTCCTAAAGGTGTTTTGAATACGAACGAACACAGTCAATGTGAGGGGCAAAAGCAGCATTAATATCCTCTGTAAATGAACCATAGGGTTTTAACTAATTTAAGGGTCAATTATTGTGCATTGAGATGAATCGCTTGAAAAGAGATACTTCGCTTGAAGATGTGATCAAAAGTAAACAAAGTCACAATAGTGCGTAACGTTCAGTCTTTTTAACATCCAAGGACTGTGATATTATTTAGCTGGCACAAAAACTTCGGAGGAGTTATAAAGCGGCATAGTTATCGTCCATGAAGAAAAGTTGGTCATGGGTGCGACAAACAATGAACTCGAGCGAATTTTTAACTCATATCGGTATCAGGTAAAAAATTCTTAAGGAATCCGCTTCTGCGATATCTGGTCCACTAGCACAGTTAATGAATGAATCGATCAAACAATGCAAATATCCTTCTCGATGGAAAATGGGGCAGGTTACACCTCTTTTCAAGAAAAATGATGAATTGAGTAAAGAGAATTATCGACCCGTTACTGTTTTACCGGCCCTAAATAATGTTTTTGAGAAACTTCTTGCTTCTCAACTAGACCAGTTCTATTCTGAAATATTGTCTGACTACATCTCAGCTTATAGGAGACACTATAGCTGTGAAACCTCGCTAATGAGGTTAACAGAAGATTGGAAGCGTAGTCTGGATAATAAACAAATTGTTGCAGTGATATCAATGGATTTATCTAAGGCTTTCGACACGATACCGCATGGACTCTTGCTGGCCAAGCTGAAGGCCTATGGTGTTAACAGTAGAAGTTGTATGCTTCTTAAAGATTACTTACAAGGTAGGATGCAGCGGGTGAAAGTAGGTGATACAAGTTCTGATTGGCAAGAAGTCATGCGAGGGGTACCTCAAGGCAGTGTTCTTGGTCCAATGTTTTTTAATATTTTCATAAATGATTTATTCCTACAAATCAAAACTGTACAATTAAATATGTATGCAGATGATGGTCAACTCTACACCGCCGATACGGATCCGGTATCTTTGGAAAGGCGTATCTCGCGTGAGGTTAGCTCAGCAAATGCCTGGTACGAGATCAATGGAATGATAGCAAATCCCAGCAAACACCAAGGGATGATACTAGGAAAAACTGACCATCAGTTTAATTTCTCAGTAAATGACTCAGTGGAACTTTTCGGCGTTACAATTGATAAAGATCTTACGTTTAAGCAACATGTGTCCTCTATATGTAAAAAGGTAAACAATCAGTGTAGCGTTATGACAAGGTTTGGCAAACTGATGTCTACTGAAACCATGCTCCGTCTTTATAAGGCATTTATACTTCCTCACTTTTATTATTGTTCTATGGTGTGGCATTTCTCTAGTAAACAAGATTCTGATAAACTGGACCTTTTAAACAAACGTATTCTTCGATTTATTTTCAAGGATTTTAACTCTGAGTATAATAATTTACTTAAAAAGGCAGGAACTGCAAACCCTAAGGACAAGCGTTTACAAAACATGATTCTCGCTATTTTTAAATGTCTTCATTTTTCTGATTATCCAAGATATTTAAAAGATATGTTTCGTTTACGCTCTAGCACCTATTTTTTAAGAGGACATAATATGCTCTGTTTGCCCAAACTATTGACCACTTCTTATGGTATCAATTCCTTTAGTTACTTGGCAGCAACATCTTGGAACTCTCTTCCTAACCATTCCTAATTTTACTTCTTTTCGAGGACTGATATCTACTGGGAAGAATAATTAACTTAAAAGGGCAGGAACTGCAAACCTTTCTGCATCATGATAATTTGCAAGTTAGTTGTCTAGGTAGTTAGTTATCTTATTTGTTATATAGAATTAACTTTTTATTATAATTATTTATTAATGTAGTTGGCTCGAAGATATTAGCACTTGAGTGCTACACTGTAAATTCGAGGGTAAATAAAGTTTATTGATTGATTGATTGATTGATTGATTGATTGATCGTTTCATCTATTTACATTGTTTGAAGTGCGTGCTGATGAAAGCAACATGCGAGCGAGAAATCTTTAAACTTTTTTAGGTCACAAAATGCAAAGGATTTTATTCCTTTAAGTTAGAGAAAAATACCAAGAGGAAAATCTTAAAACTGAATATTTTTTATCTTGTGGAAAAAATAGTGCGTTTTCATGTAGACTGTAGCCGGAAATTACGATGGCGTTTCACAAACATGCGAATTCTGAAGTTCAGAAGCCAACCGACGATTGCGTTTTTTCGCTGCGGTCAATCATCTTATCTTAACGGACCTCTTAGGAAACAAAACTTTACTTCACGGGTTCAAAAGGTCATGGTTTGTGATTTGTGGATTTCGATCCGTTTTGTGTTTCTCTGTTTCGAGGTTCGTCGCTTGTGATCGTAATTATGATTGACGGCAGCGAAAAACACAATTGTGAAGGTGACTTTTGAAGTTTAGAGTTCGCATGTTTGTGAAAAGCGCAGCAAAGTCTCAGTGCAGTCAGAGGCCCCCGGATCAGGCGGGATCAATGGGCAGTTGGTTGTCTGTTTTAGTATACTTCTGGTTTTCATACAATACAATATTTCTGTTTAGTGTAAATCAGCTCTAGTCTGCTACACAGCCGTTTTTAGTGTCGTCACGCAACGCTCCTCCCCACTAACTCACTCCATTAGTGGGGAGGAGCGTTGCGTGACGACACTAAAAAACGGCTGTGTAGCAGACTAAATCAGCTCCGTCTGTCACACTTTATGCTCGTAGAACGACAACAATTTTTGGAATTTCTGGTTACGTCAAATTAGTCACGTTATACTGTCACGCTATATTTTGGGGCACAGAGGGATTGGGGGAGGGGTGCGTGAAAATAATGCAAATCGTTTCCTTCTTAGAATTAGTGGCTAACTTGTTTATTTTCATTCATAATGGTGGAGTTTAAAAGTTATTATACAGCCCCCAGTTAAAAATGGTACTCTTTCTTTTGGTTACGAAAGTCTTTCAAAAGGGTACAATGTTCTGAATGAGTTTATGTTTCAGTCTCACTTGAGATTCTGTCACATGCAATGGTCGGCGACAAGGTTTTGTAGTAGCCTGAGTGTGTATAGCCGCCCCCTCCCCTCAGAAAAAATAGCCCCTTTGCAGCCCAGTTAAAAATCGCCTTTCGGCGATTCTTGTTAGTTTCGAGTTAAGTCGAGGTTAATCATTAATATGAATAAGGGTCAAGTTCATGACGTCACCCATTCTTATAACCTGGGGAAAAAGTGGGTTCCTGCATACGTAATAAGTGCCTTCCTCCATACTAATGAGCGTATTTCTTTCACAAAATGCTCGCAATGAAACCAGACAGTTTTCTTAAGAAACGAGAAATCAACTTTACGACCCTTTAACCTCGTTTTAGACTAGGATGCAAGCAAAAGAGCAATAACGCTCGTCGTAATGTTCCTGCTCCCTTTATCGGATAGCAATTTAGCACCGCCGTTTTGCAAGTAAGCTTTAGTTTCGTTTACATCATAAGGAAAGAACAGAAAAGAAACAACCAGTACATAATGTAAACGGCGTTCTTATATGTGAGACGGAGTTAACCCATCGTCACAAACTAAACCAAGCATTTTATGTTTACAGACGCGTAATCGGGAAAGACCGGTCAAAGAATTTCCCCGGACAGAACTGTTATAGTCTAGCTTAAGCCACGTGTCTGGGATTCAAACGGAAAAAAATATTGATTTATGGATAGATATAAATTGTGACACAGGAAAATACCCAGATATCGCCTATAAGGTCGCAACTTTGTTATCTGACAACTATCAGGAACTATGAAGGAAAGTTTCAAATTAAACAATAGGAGACAGGCGATTTTAGTGATAGCTGCGAACTTTGGTTTATCACGAAGTTCTTAGAAGAAAGATATTTAAAAAGGGAGCCCACGTCACACATGGGGTTTTCAGTGGGGCGCTCCATTAACCTACTCATAGTTAGACTAGAAAGGGGGAAGTTGAAAATTTACTTAGGGCGCTTTCCATTTGTCACAACTGACCGGCCAGACCATTCCCGTCGCAATAATAATTTCCCTTTTAATCAAAACTCTCCGGCCAGATCAGTCAAATTGTAAATAGTATCCACGAAGGACTGAAAGTTTTTCAGCAAAAACTCTTGGAAAAAGCCCATTTCATTTTCAAACTAGCCTACTGAATGGCTGGGCTATGGCTGCCGGCCAGTTCTGACAAATGGAAAGCGCCCTAGAGTTCATATCATTGACATTTTCTGTCATTTGTGTGCAAGCGTTAAATGCGAAAAAAATGCAAAGGAATTTACTTTTTGGAGTCAAAGGCTGCATGAGCTAGGCTAATGTAAAGGGGGGTTAAATTGTTTTCTTACGTGATACAGTTGTACTGGGGAACCTAATTACAGGTACAAGAATCAGTTTTGTTTAACCTTTAGTTCCCCTTTCCAGCTTAGCTTCAACGAGAACTACAACAAATACATTTCATTGAACTTTCCATCCATCTGTCAGTTACAGCATAAAACTCCCGGGGCGGGATGATAAAACTTAACTAAACGCTATGCGGGAAAACTATTCTGACTTCGACTTTCTTAAGTACCCTCTTGCGTGGATTCTCCAAATCAATCCCACGTCTACAAGCTATTATGAGGCAGGTGACTCCTCTAACTATACGAAAATTTTCCAAATTCTAATGTTATTGACACATGGAAAAGAGAATGTTCTGGCACGCTGGTCAAGAGAGAACTACGGTATGTATTTCTGCATCCGCAAACCTTTTAAATGCAAATTATGAGAAGATGATATGACAGAATGGACAAACCAGTGAATATAATAACATTTGAAAAATATCTAAAAAAGGACAATGAAAATTTGAATTACAATGTTGCAAGCTGACATGCTGGAGCAGTGTGGGGTCAACTCTGGTGGAGACGCTTGAAAGGCTTCAACAAGAGAAGAATCAGTCAAGGACCCGGTTTCCCAACTTGCCTGGGCTAACCTACGTAGTAGGATGCAAATAACATCTGTGCACAATCATTTTCAAGTGTTTGAAGGCACTTGTACCTACAGAACGTTCCTAAATTGCACAGCGATTAGGTCATAAATATAAAACAAGGAGCAATGAACTTAATGTTGTACTTACAGCTGCTAGAACTGAGTTTAGGAAAAATATCAGTTATGTACCGGGGAGCAAGGACCTATAGTGAGCTCCCAGGCTCAGCAAAACAGTGCAAATCTTTGCCAAAATTTAAGAATATGCTGAGGACTGTTATTCTCTAATTTTGCTGTATAGTACATTTTTCAAGTACCTGCCATTTCATGTTTGGTTATATTCTCATGTATTCATGTATTTAATTTTAATTTATCAGGAGCCCCATTGATATCAGCCCTGCTGAAGGGGCAAATCCTGTATAAATATAGGTAAATAAATAAGAGCAAAGCTTTCATCAACAAAAAAGGTCGTCTTAACTCATCAGTTTAATTTTAAAGAAGATAAATCCGCCGTAGTGAAAATATTCAAAGCAACGGTCTGTGTTTTAGTATCAGCAAACGAAAATGCTCGATGACAAGTATGGTCAGTATTTTTTGGATCTTTTTGATTGTCTGTTTTGTTTTTTTTGTTTTCTCCTTTTTCACGGCCCAAGTTCTCCACTTAACCCCGACAACAAACTCGTACAGAGCCCGCTGCTATAGACATTTTAGAAAGATAAAGCGTTTAACAGAGAGCTTTCGATAAGATTTGCATCTTGATATGGCACAATATATTATGGTGCTGTTAGGGACCTCTAACAGCATTCAAAATGGCCTCAGTCTTAGCCACCATCTTCGGTCTTACTGAAAATGAAGAGTTACAAGTGCTCCCTCAAGTCAAAACTACTGACCAAGCCAAAAGATAAATGAAATATTTGTCTAGCACTTAGTGAAAATTATAGAAAGGCAAAAAAGAGCTAAATTGCGCTAATTCTTAAATACCGAATAACAACAACCTTTCTCGTTCAGCTTACAGATTGTTTATGCAACAGGAAGGGCCTGCCAGATTGTTTAAAACGAATATCACAATTCCCTCTCTACACGTTAGACACGTCTTTTAGGCCAGAAAAAGAAAAAGAAGTTGGATGGAACAGTTCAACTAATGAGATCTCTCATTGTTTCTGGTATGGAATCATCTGTCATGACAACTCGTCATACATAAAAAGTATCGTGTTGCCTTATAACTTGAATGACTTTCTTCCTTCTAACATTTGGAAAATACGAAACTTATTTTCCCTTTGCACGCTAGAAAATCCGAGACTGCGAGGGCGTATAGGCGACTTTCTGTTTGATAACATGAGCAAATTGCTCATCATTTCATTTAAAACCACCTCCATCAGTGGAGATATACCAAAAGACATCGTAAAGCTGACTAGTCTGCAGTTCATCTTGGGATGTCCTATGAATGGCGAGGGCTTCTCTAGTCGCTTACCAGAAAACATAGGAAATATGACAGAGCTTCGAGGTCTCTGTCTTGGGGGAACCAACTTGACAGGAGAAATACCAAGAAGCATATCTCGACTTTACGATCTCGACATTCGAAACACCCCTGGCGTGATGCATGGAGACCTCAACGCAATATTTGGTATTCCTTTTTTATCCTATTTGTACTTGTCTGGCCTTCACCTTAGCGGGAGAATGCCTCGGGTGTTGCCCAAAAGGTTCTTGCAAGTTGGTTCGACTGGAAACAGCAACACCAACCTTAATGTATTTAATGTCGCAAACAATCAGCTAGTAGGGGATATTCCAGGGGATCTGCTTCTGTTGCCAAATCTTCAAATGGTAGACGTGTCACAGAACCAGTTTTCCTCTATAAACCGTGGCAAACCATGGCCAGTTAATTCCAGTGCAGCTAAGACGAAATACGTCTCTTTAGCGGGGAAAAGGAACTTGTCAATTGACTTCCAGAGTTTCATAGAACTTTTCACCACAACGGTTGACTTCATAGATAGTCCATCAATTTTAAATGTTAGTTTTTGCGACATCAAAAGTCCCGTACTTGCAAATTTGTATTACTTTGAGACAATGTCCACTTGCGACAAGCGAGGCAATAATTTTTATGGACCTTTACCTGACTTCAACGAACACTTTTCTTTGCTAACTTACTTTGATGTCTCAGCAAATAATTTAACGGGCAGCTTTCCACCTGGAATTCAGAGCCTCATCTCCCTTCAAAATTTACATTTTTCCAAAAATCGTTTCATGCGAGAAGGAAACAGCGCATCTACCAGTGCGTCTATCAACCAAACTTTTCAAGAATGATACGGCCACCCGACGCAGAGAACTACACGTGCCCTGAAGGACGTGTCGTCTTCAATAACGGTCGCATTCGCTTCAATCCGACGTTTTGCAACTACAGATATTGCATCTGTGATGCCGACTTTTATGGAGACAAAGGGTTGTGCAAAAAATGCATGGAAGGTGGGACTTGCCACCGAAAAGATTTCCATGAGAGAGCAGATCTTCGTCCTGGCATCATGAAAAACAGGGGTTCCCACCTTGTAAAGTGTCCAATACCATCTGCTTGCAATCCATCAGATTCTTGCAACTCTGAGCTGAATACATCGCTAAAAGACACAAACGCGCCCTCCAACAGACCCCAGGTGCTATCTCTCTTCACAACATGCAACCATTTGTCTATCTGTCATCAAGGAAACACGGACAGATGTTGTTCTCGCTGTCTCGATGGATTCTACAAGTTAAGCGGACTTTGCTTTCGATGTAAAAACGGTGATTTATTATACTATTATATATTTGTTCCTGTTTTTGCAGTTTCATTCCTTGCTTTAATCTGGTCCTATTTCTTTTTCAGCGTACGTCCCTTGAAATGGTTTGTTGTTACGGCCATTCATTTTCTCTTAAGGATAATTATGATGCTCTTGGAATTCTTGCCGGCATGGTTTTTCAAATTAAACATGGTTGTGTTTGTGCTCTGTATGACTAGTAGAGGGAAAGCGGTCCGTACAGCTCCGTACGCTCATAAGCATCAGAGTGTTTCACATTCAGACTACAGATTTCATGGTATCAAGCTTCAACGTTTGGCCTAAAAAGGTCATTGCAGCTCAAGGCTACCTAAGCAGCTACTGGAACCTCTATTTTCCCTCGCTTTCTTGTGATTTGCCTTTGCTGTTTACTCCTGTTGGCAAGTTTGCTTTTCTGCTTCTTTTGCCACTGGCGTGCTTGACCATGGTGGGAGAGCATATTTTATCATCATGCTAGCATTCCAGAAATTCCTTCCAAACACAGAACGCATGGGAATGGCTCACTTCAAATGTCGCCAAACCGCCTTTTTCTGTCTAAGCTTCAGCTATTTTCCCATTGTGAAACAAACGCTTTCAGTCCTACGTCCATGCCACAAGCACACTCTTCTTCCCGCAAGAAACTTGACGTATGGCTTGAACCGATCGACTTACCCTACAAAACAAAGTACTAGGCCTTTTTCGAAGTTGTCATGCTCTTACGTCGCCTGATTCTCGCTATCGCCCTGTCCATGATCCCATCGTCATCTACTTTGCAAACGTTTGTAGTCTGGGTTGTACTTATGGCTTCGGCGATTATTCATCTTATTTTAAGGCCGTACGGTACCAGCAGGAGAGTGGGAGAGGCCGACCGCGAACATGGCTGGCCAAAGGTCGAAGAAATATTCACTGAGCAAGTCTTTGAGCCTCTTGTATTGGTTGTCGTATCAATGTCATTCATGGTGTTACAATTTTCAACTTTAGATGGCAAGAATGCTGATCTTTCTGTTTGGTTTGTTATGGTCAACAATACCTGTGTCCTGATTGGTTTGCTAGTGGTTATCTTTTATCTTCTCGCTTGCAAAGTTAACATCCGTGATAATGGCAAAGAAAACTCAAGTGCAGCAGATTGTGGAGGGGAAGATAGAAGCTGAGAGAGTTGAAGAAGAAGAAGAGGGAATGTATTTGCTGCGACGAGATGCCAGCCGTAGATACTTACTTGTAAATAATGACGCTTAACCTTCCATAGAAGGAGAATGATTCAATTGATTAGGTAAAGCGTGCTTCGAGTGTAAGAAGATTTTACTGTAATAATAAACAATTATTCCACGAGTGCGCGTTGGGACCCGTTGGATATGAGATGGTGGACAGCCCACGAAGTGCGTAGCGCAGAGTTGGCTATAATCATCTCATATCCAACAAGCGCAAGTGGAATAATTGTTTTACTAAAAACGCCCACAAAATATGGAGAATTCTTCCCGACTTGACTTGTAAAAAATAAACGATTTTCAGCTTGTTTTTAATTTTGAACAGACGCGTACAGTTACCGTATTTGGAGGGCATGGTATAATGCCTCATATAAAATGATGGCTAAGGTAATCAGAGCTCTAGAATTGCATTATCCAATGATTAGAGTCCTTCTGTTTTAAGGTGTTAGTTTGAGAACTTGTGTTTTGCGCCAACACCTAATTTTTCGGCTCTTCCAAACGTCCGGCAACAAGCTGTAAGATGTCAAGGGAAAATGTACCCAGCGAAAACAATGTATTGTAAGCCTAACACAAATTATTTCCTTTAGCCTATTGTACGTTTCCAATTATCAAAAAATTATGAAATTTATTTGATAATAGCCTGTTTGCTTAGAAAGGGAGAGTTTTACAACCTAGTCTCGATCAGATTAGGGAAAATGCTTTATTTGTTTCATGCAAACTTCTCATAACATCACAGGTGGCCAAATCAAAATATGACCTTCGGCATAGCTGCGTAACGTTCAAAATATAAGGATTTGTATGGGAGAAAAAAAACGATTATTTATAGCCTTCGAATGTCAGAGGATTTAAATAAAAATCGGCCAACCTCACTTAAATTGTGTGTTTCTTCTTTCCTGCGTGGTTTCCGAGCCGATTTATGGCCATTTAATGGTTTCAGTGGGACGAGTTTGCTCTCTCACAAAAACTAGTAAATGCAGAACGTATACCGGTATAGCTCGTTTCCAAGCGTTTTTGCTCTTCCGGTTTTAAGCCCCCTCGGATGTTAGCCCATCCGTTTATAAGCTCTCCTTAATCCCCTTAAAAAGCTGTGTAAGCCCAAGGCTTATACGAGGAAGTTTACGGTATAATGTCTCCCATGTTCACAATCGGCTTTGTTCACTTTCCTACTAATGGATGCGCATCATACGGCCGTAAACACGGATGAATAATCCCCGAAAGCTAAAACACTCAAGACAACAAACATTTGCAAAGTATATGTCTTGTCAGTCACTATACTGTATATGTAACAAGTAATATATCCGACGATTCACTTCAATTCACCAAAACAAAACGGTTTCAATTTAAGGGTAAGGGTGGGTTTCCACTTTCGCGTATTTTTACCTGCGTACACATGCACGAAAATTTCAGTTGCGTAAATAAAATCGAGGCAAGATATAAAGTGATGAGCTTATACGTGAAGTTGCGCGAGGTTCAACTTTTACGTTTACGTGCGATCTTTCATGCATTAATCGCTTCTATTTTACTCGCGAACGTGAATTTTACGCAAGTAAAAATTAAGCGGCAGTGGAAGTCCACCCTTAAGGAAAAAAAAACGTGGGGTAAAGTAAGCCGAGAAAAATTTTAGTCGGCTCCAAAGCCCGTAACAACTCCATTTTGTTCCAGTTGTCTGACCAAGTTTCAACTAAACAATTAACCACCAACAACCTTACAAATTACTGAGTTGGACAATAGCATTGGTAGTTAGTGAAGAGTGCTAGAGTCCCTCCTGTGAACCAACAGGTTCATGTCTGTGATATGACGGAATTTCTGTTACTTCCCACAGAACAGAGGATATTTCCATCATTAAGACTTCAAGAGACTGAATCCTGAAAGGCCCAGTCAGTAATGAATCACTAAGCTAGGAAAGAAATAACTGAATCTTTAGTTTTTGTTAAAATTGAAACGGGTTCACTATGCAGAAAAAAGGGTTACCAATTAACACTGAGAAGAACAGAAAACGTTGATTGCCACTAACGTTAAAAATTCCTTAAAACAGACGAAAGGTAAAGAGAAAAAAGGAAAAATAAGAAAAATAGGTTTTTGTGGAATGACCAGTGGTGGGGAGGGGGAGGGGGAGAGATACAGGTCAGTTCTTAAAACGCCCCGCATGAAGCGTTGCACTGTAAATCGATAGTAAGACAATTAAATTACAGCTTGGGAGAAGGGATGGCACACTAAAACGTGCGATATTCGCCAATAAAAGAAATGTCCATTTATCGTGTATGAAAGCGCGGATGAACTTTCTAAAGTTCTTATTTTTAAAAATTTGATTTTCTTTCCATATAAATTATTCCTTCAGCGTTCAGCTGACCTAACAATATAATAGACCAGTGAAAACTTCCTTTCGCGCTTAACTAACACTTAAGTCGGTACACACTAGGCGACAAGTAGCAGCAACATGTCGCGACGACACGTCGCAGCGACAAATCGCTTCGCGTGTACTGGAGCTTTTACGTGAAGTTGCGCGAGGTTCAACTTTTACGTTTACATGCGATCTTTCATGCATTGCCTCTATTTTACTAGCGAACGTGAATTTTACGCACGTACGCACGTAAAAATTAAGCGACAGTGGAAATCCACCCTAAGGGAAAACAAGTGAGGTAAAGTAAGCCGAGAAAAATTTTAGTCGGCTCCAAAGCCCGTAGCCACTCCATTTCGTTCCAGTTGTCTGGCCGAGTTTCAAGAATTATGCAAGTGTCTAGTGCAAATGTCAACTAAACAATTAACCACCACCAACCTTACAATTACTGAGTTAGACAATAGGATTGGTAGTTAGTGAAGAGTGCTGGAATCCCTCCTGTGAACCACCAGGTTCATGTCTGTGATATGACGGAATTTCTGTTACTTCCCACACAACAGAGGATATTTCCATCATTAAGACTTCTAGAGACTGAATCCTGAAAGGCCTAGTCAGTAATGAATCACTAAGCTAGGTAAGAAATAACTGGATTTTTAGTTTTTGTTAAAATTGAAACGGGTTCACAATGCAGAAAAAAGGTTATCAATTAACACTGAGAAGAACAGAAAACGTTGATTGCCACTAACGTTAAAAATTCCTTAAAACAGACGAAAGGTAAAGACAAAAAGGGAAAAATAAGAAAAATAGGTTGTTGTGGAGTGACCAGTGGCGGAAAGGGGGAGGGTGAGAGATATAGGTCAATTCTTTAAACGCCCTGCATGAAGCGTTGCACTGTAAATCGTTAGTAAGACAATTTAATTACCGCTTGGGAGAAGGGATGGCGCACTAAAACGTACGATATTCGCCAATAAAAGAAAT